AAGAGAATCGCTTAAGCCCAAGAGTTGGTGGTTGCTATGAGCTGTGACGCTACAACCCTCTACCCAGAGCGACAGCTTGAGACTCTGTCTCAAAAAACAAAACAAAACAAAAACAAACTAAATGCCCAATAATGGAGGAATTGTTAAATAAATTACAATATTTGATTGTTTCATTCAGGGTTCATATAATTATCAAATAGAATAATCACTATTCTCTTTAGATTACTAGATAGAATTAAATAGAAGTTGGCTCAGCCACCTGAGGAAGAAAGGAGGAATTTAAGGATTCAGAAAAATCTCTTAGGGCTTTAAAAATACTTTTTTTCTTTTTTTTTTTTTTTAGAGACAAAGTTTCACTTTGTAGCCCTTGGTAGAGTGCTGTGGCATCATAACTCACAGCAACCTCAAACTCTTCGTTGCTTGAAGTAGCAACAAAAATAATTTTATGATTGGGGGTCACCATAACATGAGGAACTGTATTAAAGGGTTGTGGCATTAAGAAGATTGAGAACCACTGGCTCAAATGATTCTCTTACCTCAGCCACCCAAGTAGCTAAGACTACAGGCCCCTGCCACAATGCCTGGCTATTTTTAGAGATAAGGTCTTGCTCTGGCTCAGGCTGGTCTGGAACCTGTGAGCTTAGGGCAATCCACCCACCTCAGCCTCCCAGAGTGCTAGGATTATAGGCATGAGCCACTGTGCCTGGCCAAAAATACTTTTTTTGATACTTTGTGAAGCCAAGGCAGCTGGATTTCTTGAGCTCAGGAGTCTGGGACCAACCTAAGCAAGAGTGAGACCCCATCTCTACTAAAAATAGAAAACTAGCCAGGCATTGTGGCAAGTGCTTGTCCCAGCTACTTGGGAGGCTGAAGCAAGAGGATTGCTTGAGCCCAAGAGTGAGGTTGCTCTGAGGTATGACCATGGCACTCTACCCAGGGTGGCAGAGTATCTCATAAAACAAAACAGAACAAAAAAACCATGACTGTGTGCAATGGCTCATGCCTATAATCCTAAGATTCTGGGAGGCCGAGGTAGGTGGATTGCCTGAGCTCACAGGTTCAAGACCAGCCTGATCAAGAGTGAGACCTCATCTCTAAAAATAGCTGGGCATTGTGGTGGGCACCTGTAGTCCCAGCTACTCAGTAGGCTGAGGCAAGGCTCAATCACTTGAGCCCAAGAGCTGGAGGTTGCTGTGAGTTCTGGCACTATGGCACCCTACTGAGGGTGACAAAGTGAGACTCTGTCTCAAAAATACCCCCCAAAACAAAAAAACTCAATTTTTTTATTATTTATTTATTTATTTACTTTTTGAGACAGAGTCTCAAGCTGTCACCCTGGGTAGAGTGCGGTTACATTACAGCTCACGGCAATCTCCAACTCCTGGGCTCAAGCGATTCTCTTGCCTCTGCCTCCCAAGTATCTGGGACTACAGGTGCCTGTCACGATGCCCGGCTATTTTTTGGTTGCAGCTGTCATTGTTGTTTTGGTGGGGCCTGGGCTAGATTCGAACTCGCCCGCTCTGGTGTACATGGCTGGTGTCCTAGCTGCTTAAGCCACAGGCACTGAGCCAAAAAACACAATTTTTTTTAACTTCAAGGAATACATGTTTATCATAACTTGTGAAACAGTAGAGAAATATATTTAAAATGTCTAAAACTCTGTTCCCAACCTTCTATCATTTGTATCTCTAGGAAATAATATTAATACAACTGATATGTTTCCTTCCACATCTTTCTCTATTACCTTACAATTAAAATTTTTTTCACCCCATGTTGTATGTGAGAGTGTGTCCGTGGGAAAAAATTTTTTTTCCACTAATTTATTTTGAAATATTGATTCTAATGTAATTCTTTGTGGTCAGAGAATAGGCCTTGTTTTATTTGAGTCTTTTTGAATTTATTGAAACTTGTGTTTGGCCCAGAACATATTTGGTAAATGTTTTGGGCACTTGAGAAGAATGTGCATTGTGCTTTTATTGGGCATAATGTTCCATAAATGGCAATCAAGTCTTACTGGTTGATTTTGTATAGGTCTGCCGTATCCTTACTGATTTTCTGCCTACCTGTTCTGTCAATTATTTTATTTTATTTTTAGAGACAGAGTTTCACTTTATTGCACACAGTAGAGTGCCGTGGCATCACACAGCTCACAGCAGCCTCCAACTCCTGGGCTTAGGCGATTCCTTGCCTCAGCTTCCTGAGTAGCCGGGACTATAGGTATCTGCCACAATGCCCAGCTATTTTTTTGTTGCAGTTTGGCTGGGGCTGGGTTCGAATCTACCACCCTCAGTATATGGGGCTGGTCCCCTGCCCACTGAGCCACAGGCACTGCCCTATTCTGTCAAGTACTGACAGAGGAGTTTTGAAATCTCTGATTGTGATTGTGGATTTATTTGTTTCTCCTTAAAGTTGTGTCAAGTTTTACTCCATATGTTTTAAAATTCTTTTTTTTT